ACATAATGAAAATGTGTTGTTTTTTTTACATTTTATTTTTATACTTGGAGCCTCACAAATGTTCAATAATAGCTCAATATTTGTCAACCTGGCTGTGTTCTGGGTGTTTTTTTTTCTAATGTTAATTAAATGTGGCAGCCATCTTGAATGAGGTTCTTCTCTCAGATGTTGACACTGGTCTCTCCACAGTGAGTCTTCCTCCTCCATCACTGTCCTCACTCTGACTGTCTCCATGTCCTCTCTAACATCTTTTTCCTGCAGATGCATCTTCATCATCCTTTTACAAATATACCCCCCCCCCCCCCCGTCCCTCCTCTGGTCTCAGAAGGATCAAGAGTCCTCTAAATCTCTCCTTCAGCCACAATTKACACAAATTGTCATCAGAACACAACCATTTAACAATCTGTGGGGAAAAAAACAAACATTTCACAGGTTTCATTCACGTGTAGGAACACTCCTTTTCAATCAACATTGTGTATTTTTCATTTACAAAGTGCAAAGACTGATGTGAAAGTCGCAGATCTAAAACAAATGATGCTAACATTTCAGAACACAAGAAASAGAGCAGAAAGTTTAAAACCATTCAACACAAAACAGTGAGCTGAACAAGCTAAAGACGGGGTTGTAAATGAAGAGCTGTCAGGTGTGTGAGACTGTGGACACYATCGGTCGGTGTTTGTGGTCCGAGTCAGGAGAAGGCAGCTAAAACGCAGCAGCAGTTCTGGATCCTCCAGCGCCGCTGCACTACTCGTTCTCAAACTTGCTGTACGGGTGGTCCGAGTCTCCCATCAGACCTGCACAGGAAGGAAGCAGAGGAACGTCCTGATGAGATCTGCTGCAACGTGAAGACGTTTTATACGTTCTAATGACGACTGTAGAGGACAAACAGGTTTAATTCATATGTACGCCAACAAGGATTCAGCAATCTGACTGCAGCTGTTGAAAAACGCTGAGGTTGCTAAGAAAACACCACTGGAYTTGTGCAAATTCAATAAACTCAAAAAACAAATATATTATAGCCTAGATATTTATGAAAAATCTCATATATGATCTTAAAAGGAAAGTTTAACAGAAATAACTTCAGAGTAAATACATCAGGTCTGTAAAATAGTGTTAATTTACTGGTTGAATTAGTTTAATTCCAATGGCGTTTCCATAAAAAACTCAGTGTTTTCCTGATTAAGCCCAGCCCGCTTCGCGGTTTGTTTGTTTTTTTAACAATTTTTAACTACAAAATGGTCTATTGATCTGTAACTGATTTGTAACCATCCATAACACCATTATAACAGAAGCTGTTTATTTCAGGGATAAAAGCTCAACAACAAACTGTTGAGAAGAAGAGGAAGAGGCGTGAACAAGCACTAATCTCAGCTGTCACTGGATGATTTAGGGCCGCTGACTGTTTTAAAAAAAACAAACTGTTCCTACAGTTGGGATTACAGTGAGTTGAAATTTACTCAGTCAGCTGAAAAGTGAAAAATCTTCTAATGAAACGGAGGCTTCAGATCCAGACGTGCGCTGCTGCTGATTCTGCTGACCTGACATTTATTTTCACCGATCCACAGGATCGAWGTGAAGAGAGACCAGCTGACAGTAATTCAACTTCAGAATGGTTTTGGTTTTATAAACACTGGCTCTGAGACACTCGAGAGTTGTGGGATGTGGAAACAACTTGTGTCACCACCAGGTGGCTGTCCACTGCTTTATTAACCCCCTGCAGCAATAAGAGAAAAGCCTTTGRYGGGGCTGCACGGTGGTGWGGTGGTTTGACAGYGTTGCGGTATAAAAACTGACTCATRTGACCCAAATAAAGCAGGAAGAAGCAGTTTGTAGATCTCCTCTTTGCTTACAACTGATTTAACCAGCACAGAGAGCTGGAAACTCTCTTCAACCCTGACATGAAAAAGCCAAACTGAGCTGAGAAACATGAAAGTTGTTACTCACCGTACTTCCTGCGGATTTCATCGTGTCGTGTCTTTCTCTCCACCTTCCTGTGATCAAAACAAGCAGATATTCCACAGGTCAGGAAACTTGTTTTCTACCTTTTTTTTTTAGGTAATTAGGTAATTTTTTTTAGGTTAGACCGTTTGATCTAACACAGTGTTTCCCAAACTTTTTGTCTTCTGACCCACAAAATATCCATGYCAAAAACTTGTGACCCCAAATATTACTGCTCTGAGTACATGAATTCGTTAATAACCCTAAAAACACAGGCTTTTTGACAATCTAAACAGCTTGTACACAAATATAAATATTTATTGTTACTTAGTTTGTGTTTTTGTAATAACTTTAGGGAAAATATTACATCAGCAATTATTTTATTACCCTTTAAATTGATTTCTGGAGATTATCCAAGGTGCTTCATGACCCATAATTGGGTCCCAAGCCCAACTTTGGGAACCAAAGTGCAGTGGTTCCAAAACTTTTCAGCTTTTGACCCACAAAATAACAGCAGCAGAGACCTGTGCCCCCAGCTATTTTTGCATGATAAACATTTGTATCAGGTCAACTAAACATGGGCATAGTAACAATATTTTTATACTACATTWATCCATTTTWAAWWKAKRWAKC